ATTGTCAAGAGTTTGGCTACGACTACCGCCCAGATCCAGCAAGAGACTAGACAGCTCCAGCAGGAGACCAGGTCATTGACCACGAATATGGCTCAATTCCAACAAGAAACTAGAGTCTTAACCATGAGCACCACTCAGTTCCAGCACGATACCAGAGCAGGCATGAAGGATATGGGGGCTCGAATAAGCCAAATGGCAACTGCCATCAATCGCCTGGAGTCCCATGCTTATGAAAAGTTACCCTCACAACCCGAAGTAAATCCCAAGAATGCAAGTGCCATGACACTGAGGAGTGGCAAGAAACTGGAAGGGCCTAAAGTGGGAAATTCAAAAAGCAAAAGTGAGGAGGAGATAGAAAAGGAAATTGAAGAGGAAGGACGTATTCGAGAGGATCCTAAGGTAACCTTCACTTCTCCACTCACTACTAAAACTAACTTACCTCCTTTTTCTTGCAGGTTGGAAAAGACAAAGAGGGCAGAAAGGAAAAAAGAAATCCTGGATGTATTCCGCAAAGTTCAAGTAAACATCCCACTATTGGACGTGATCAAACAGGTACCCAAATACGCAAAGTTCTTGAAAGACTCATGCGTTAACAAAAGAAAGCTAAGGGGTGATGAGAGAGTGATGGTAGGAGAGAATGTATCAGTTGTACTTCAAAGGAAACTTCTACCCAAATGCGGGGATCCAGGCATGTTTACTATTCCCTGTAAGATTGGACATTCTAGTATCAAAAATGCCATGATAGATTTAGGGGCTTCTATTAATGTGATGCCTAAGTCAATCTATGATTCCCTAAATTTAGGACCGTTGAAAGAAACGGGGATAATAATTCAATTGGCTGATCGTACATGTGCTTATCCGGATGGGATAATTGAGGATGTTTTAGTGCAAGTAGATGGATTAATTTTTCCTGCTGATTTTTATGTGCTTTACATGGATGATAGAAGTGCCCCAAATCCATCACCCATTATATTAGGAAGACCATTTTTGAGTACTGCCCAAATTAAAATTGATGTTAATAAGGGTACTCTCACGATGGAATTTGATGGAGAAATAGTCCATTTTAATATTTTTGATACAATGAAACATCCTATTAACTCTCAGTCTGTGTTTGCTATTTATGCCACTAATCCTTCTGTGCAAGAATTTTCTAAGTTTGCTTGTAGGGGTAAATTCAAGGTTACTGCGAACAAGTCCTATAGGATGAAAGCAATTCATGAGGTGAAAATGGAGAGAAAATTTAGGAAAAAGGTTGCACTCAATGGCCACGTGGATCCCGGAGGAAGGCCACCAATTACAAGAAAATTTCAATTACATCCAGACTAAAGAGTGGTGCTATGTCTAGCCAAAGACATTAAAGAAACGCGCTACTTGGGAGGCAACCCAAGACTATTTGTTTCAGTTTTCGTACATTTTTGAAGTTTTAGTTGAGTGTTAGTGTCATTTAATTGTTTAATGTTTGGTGGCAGGGAGTTGGCAGTTAGACGTGCCCACGCCAAGTGGTCACGTCTAAGGAATGGAGTTGGAAAGCGACGGCCAGAAGACTCTATAGCAGTTAAGCGTACCCACGCCAGGTGGTCACGTTTAAGGGAAGAAAATTTTCGTCCGCGGACAGAAGACTCTGTAGCAGTTAGGCGTGCCCACGCTAGGTGGTCACGTTAAAATAAAAACAAAAGGGAGAAAAAAAAGGGCAAAAAGACAAAATTTGCCCTTATTAAAAAAATATATATTTCAAAAGACCCGCAGCCCTACTCTTTCTTTCTTCTTCTTTCTTTTCTTTTTCTTTCTTTCTTCTTCCTTCTTTTCTCTTTTTTTTTTTCTTCTTCTCTTCCTTTTTCTCCTTGTCCGCCGCCGCACCTCACCCTACTGCCCGCCGCTCGATCTCCACCAGCCCGCGCGCCACGCCAGTCGCGCGACCAGCAACGCACGCCCGAGTTCCTCCTCCGCACCTCCAACACGCACCAGCGAGCCCATCAGCTCCAGCAGGCGCGCAGCCCAGTCGCGCTCTCGACCAGAGCAGCGAGCAGCAGAGCAGTCGCGGACCGTAGTCCGCGCGCGCAGACCTCACGCCCGCCCCCTTGCGCGTAAGCTCGCAGCTCGAGCAGCCTCTAGCACTGACACGCCGCACGCCAACGCGCGACATCTCTCTCTCTGCGCAGCCAGCGCGCGGGAGCTCCACCACCAGCCGCAGTTCCAACTCCTCACCAGACCGTGCGCGATCTCATTCTCCAGCCGAGCGCCCTTTTGCGTCTTAGCCCCCGCGTGTGAGGTCCACACACGTCTTAGCCCCCGGCGAATTCTTTCTTTATTTTTCAGTCGCTCAGTAGCTGAGGCCAGATTACTAGTTTTTCATTAGTTGAGGCCAGATTTTTTATTTGCTAGCTGAGGACAGAAATTATGTGTTATTTTGGGTGCTGTGATATATCTGTGGTTGATTGTGGTCTTTTTATGAAATTTTGTACTCAACCAGAGATATTTGGGAAAAGTTTTTTTTCACTCTGGCTGCCTGTTTAATTAATTTTTGGGGAAATTTGCTGTGTTTATCTGATTAATTGATTTTTGGGTTGAATTGGTAGTATTTGGAGAAAATTTCGCTGCTCGCAGGTTTAATTAATTTTTGGAGTGTGTTCATAGGCCGTTTCTGCACTTGTCTGTGATTGGGAGCTGTATTTAGTTGTCATTTGCTTTGTTGGCTGTTTGTTGACTTCTTTGGAATACCATTCCCTTGCCTCCACCCTGCCCTCTGATTTCAAATGACTAAACCAAAAAATAAGAGCAAGAACAAGCCCGCCTTTCCCTCCACAGTCGTAGTTCATTTCTGCCCTCCTCCGTTTTTAGGGAAGTTTCGTTGCGCCAATACCTCTGTTTTGATCTTTCTTTGCTTACATTGAGGGCAATGTAAGGTTTAGGTGTGGGGGAGGGTTAACTATGCTTTAGCTGTGTTTTTAGTTGTCTTATTAAATTTTTCCTTGCCTTAGTAGTTTCCTTCTTTAAACGGTGATGAATGCAATTGAGATATGAGTATAAGTAGTAAGTTCATACCATGGGGTGTTTCATTTTTCCTCGATGATGTGTTGATTGATGAATATGCCAAACTTGACAAAAATTTGATCACTTGTGCAATTTTTGAGCCTAATTTTTTCGTTTGTTTGAGTGGTTAGTGCACATGGTTTGTCATTCTAGAACTTGCTCGGTTATGCATGTCAAGACCACATTTAAATGAGTTTAATGCATTAAAATGATAGGGCACCTAGGAATGAGCCATTTTTGGACTTTCTTAAAACCAACCCTTGGATTATTTACAACCATTAGGGAGCCAAGTTGAGCCTTAACTCCTATTCTTCGCTTGGGACCCTAGTTTTTAGCCGTAAAACCTCTTTTTAGACTTTCGTTTTTGAACCTCGTGTGAAGAAGTGCTTTGATTTCATTATACAGAATTTTGGAGTATTATTTGAGAGGCATTACACCTATCTATGAAAAAAAAAGGGAAATGTGAAAAGAAGACAAAGTGCAGGAAATCAGCAAGTAAAGTTGATTTTTATGGTGTTGGTTGGGAGTTATTGAAAAAAAAAGGGAAAAAAAAGAAAAAAAAGGGGAAGTAGATGAATGAAAAGAGGAGAAAGAAAAAGTCGAAGGTTGTGGCAGGTGCCAATTTACTTCACTCGTGTGATGGTTGAGATGCCTTGAAGTTCCCAATGTGCAAGAATCTGTGTAATGAATTTCTGAGCACTTTCTTTATACCTTTTACACCCCTTTGACTCCTTTTTATCCTACCCTCTCACCCTAGCCCCATTACAACCTTTCAAAGTCCCTTGATTGCTGCATTGAAATTCATAAGTAAGTGGTGGCGATATGATATATGAGCAAGCCTATGGTAGTGTCATTCTATTGTGTTGATTTGAGAGTTATCTTATATACATATGCTATACACTTGGAGTGAATGAGTGCACTTCGAACTGCGAGAATTGACAATTTGGTATATTCTGATTTCGGTGAGGTTATTGGGAAATTTGGGATGCCATTCTTGGTATGAACTGCTGTGAATTGCTTAATATCTTGATTGCGCTTCTGAGTTAATTATGCTTGAGGGCAAGCATAGTTTAGGTGTAGGAGAGATTGATAGGGTGCATTTTAGTGGGGTATTTTGGGCATTAATGCACGTTTATCTGACTAAATATTTTCATTAATTGAGTGGATTCTACTGATATTTTGTTTTGATGCTAATTGCAGGAATGGACGCTGAAAAGTACTTAGGGTACGTTTGGTTCTACAGAATTAGAATTGAATTAGAATTGGAATTCTATAGAATTTGAATTCTATGAATTAGAAATCCAAATCCTTGCAATTCTTTCGTTTGGAAAATACATAGAATTGATACGGAATTTATTTGGAATTCCAAATTCTTTGTTTGGATGAGAGAAGAATTCATTAGGAATTAGAATTGTTTCCAACTAATATTTCCTTACATAAAAAATTTCTTTTTTTTACTATATAATAATTTTTTAACATTTAGCTAATTGTTACTAAAGCTTTAAGGAAAAAACCAATTAGTACCTTTAATAATTTATTTTTTCTTGCATTTAACTAATTGTTAATAAAGCTTTAAACGAAAAAAAATTAGTTCCTTTTTTGCAAAAATAAAAAAATTCTTTTTTTTAAATTAAATTATATTAAATAAAAAATAATTGTATATTCTAACTTAAAAAGTAGTTAATATTTATCGAGTTAAAACCTTGATACAAATTTAAAGTTAAGAACTTTAAATTTTAGAAAATCAAAAGCCTACTCTATGATATGAATTGGGAGGAAAGTCATAACTTGTACCTATTATAAATATTTGAGTTTTGTATCTTACAAGAAATTTCAATAGATGAATACACAAACAACGTGTTTTTAGCCAAAAAAAAAAGAGAAAGAAAAGCACAGTTATACATTGCTACTATTTTCAATAAATGGCCATTCTAATATTAAATTAAGTTCGAATAAATTCCTATCAAATTTCAACTTCCATGATGGCCTTGTCTAATTTGATAGTCAATAAACATTGCTCGTGCTAAAGCATTCCTAAATTGTGTCCACTCGCTAGTTGGTTGTACTGTTCGAATTCGATTCTCGTTAACAGCATTTACACCACCATCATTATTTGGACCATCATCTTCCATTCCATTTTCCTCATCTTCATCTTCCATTTCATCTTCATCATCAACCTCATGTTGTACTCTTCGCATCTCAGCATCAACTTCATCCAAGTAAGGGTCATTTGGTTGTTCTACTCGAATAAGATTATGAAGGATGGCACATGCATTAATTATCATGACATGAGTCTTAACATCAAAAAAAGATGCATCTCTCAAAATGGCCCACCGCTTCTTGAACAAACCAAATGTCCTTTCAATCACATTTCGAGCAATTGAATGTCGAAGGTTGAATAACTCTTTAAAATTTTCAGGCTTCCTCCCACTAGCAGACCACTCGCTAAGATGATATCTAACTCCCCTATATGGAGCTAAGAAACCGGAGCTATTTGCATAACCCGCATCAACAAGAAAGTACTTGCCTGTAATGTTAGACAACAAATTATTACTCATTTATAGTTAAAAGAAAAAAAACACATGATATCTAATTGTCACATACCTTTGGGAACAATTAATGGATCTGATCTAACTAACGCATCCCGTAGAACTCTACTATCTGCTGCAGAACCTTCCCATCCAGGCAATACATATGTAAATCTCATGTCACGGGAGCATACACCTAAAACATTTGTTGCTATCTCATTCTTCCTATTCCTATATCTTCCTTGATCTCTAAGAAGAACATGTACTTTAACATAAGTACCGTCTAACGCTCCAAGACAATCCTGTATTATAAACAAAATATCATAAGTTGATGAATCTTGTAGATATTATCTTCATTAACAAATATCAAAAAATATTGATTACCTGAAACCATTCCCACTTTTCATGCTCGTAACCTTCCATTTCCGTTTCAGGCTGGATAAGATAGTGTCTCCCCAATTTTATGATAGCACATAGAACTATATTAAAGTATCGACTAACTGTCTCACCTGATCTTATGAAATTAAAATTGACAGTGCGATTCTTAAAGTTATGAGCAAGAACATAGAGAAACATTGCAACTGCTTCTTCAACAGTAATATTTCTAGTATCCCTCAACCCACAATGCTCTCTTAAATTTGTACATAAAACAGTAAAACAATGTTTATTGAGTCTAAGTTGCTCTACACAAACTCTATTGTTTCCATAGTAAAGACGCCTTAGATATATTTCACGTGCTACTTTAAAGTCCAAGTAAGGCTCCTTTACTATATGTTTCTCATGCCACCAAACTACTAATGTGGCTACTGTTACCATATAATTTGCAACTACCACTTTTCTCTTTTTTTTTTTTTGCTCGTCTCCTTCCTTATCCATGTCAATATCCAAATTCTGCAATTCAAAATCATGACAACAATAAGAAAAGGTAAGTCAAAAGACCAAATTTTAAAAAGTGAGTGTGTTAAATTCTACATAGTCAATTGAAGCTAAAATGATAGCTAAAAAGATTAATTATCTTCTCCTTGAAACTCCTCTATATATGTGTGTGTGTGTGAGATAAAGATAGCTATTTACAATTTCCTAACTAGCAATGAATTGCAGGGAAAGCCCAACTGTTACACCACATAAGCTTTAAAATATGTGTAACAATTGATTATATACAGAAACATACACCAAAGAACTGCAGGACAATTGTTCTAGTTAGTGTCAAAATTGAACCGTTATTACCAAGCTCAATAGTTGAAACATGAAAGCCAGAGATAGAGCTATAATTTTCACATCAAAAACCTATTCACAGCATTCTAAGTGCTTGAAAATAAATACCTTTATAAAACCACAGATACAAGGAAGACTGAAGTGACGATCTTCAGCCTTTAAGCATGCCCAACTTCATGTCAGCCCACAACTTTGCTATCAAGAAGAATGCACCGACTTCACTTAAATGCAGGGCAAGGTTAAACAAGCCTTCCTGTAACATATTAGGAACAATCAAACACATTTAAATATACGCTAAGAGAGAGTGTGTGAGAGAATTTATGACAGCATTAAATAGTCCAAAACAAACATTCATCACATTCCATGTCCATTGACGAGAATTTAGCAGCCTTGAGCTGATACATAAAAGATTTTTCAGGCCCTGACAGCAAGTTTTTCAACAGCCACTGCAGTATAGAACTAAAAATTCGCTCTGTCAAAGTAAATTTGTGATTCCTTCTATGATTCTAGATACTAAGTTAAGAAGAGTATAACTGGTTTTAAGAAGATTTTTTAATCTGACACTTGGTCATAACAGCCAACAGCCTTGGAGTGTGAACTGGAGACGTTATATACTTGATCATAACAGCCAACAAATAGATTTTATAAAAAGGGTGTAATCTGCATTCTCTGTGTTTATGATCTCAGTGTCTTGAAGGAGGATACTTTAGCTTCGGATTCAGCATTTCATCCATTATCAGTCTTAAACATGTGGATATGATTCAAGAAGTCAGGTTCTTAGCCAAGGCCACTTCCTGATGTTTAGAGGTCGAATCATTATAATGCAGTGAAATTTTAAACTTGTAGCAGTAATTTTTTGTAGACAAAACGTTCTTGAATGAGATAATTTTTCTGCCTGTAATGTGAATGTAGATCTTAGAAATTATCTCTTGAATATTCAATCTACAAAGAACCATGAACAATGTATTACAAAGCCACAAACAAAAGGGGGAAAAAAAACTGGATACTAGTAGTGTTTTTTTTAATGTCAAATTCAAGAAATGTTATGTAAATACAGCATCAGGAGCAAGCTTAAAAGTTCAAATACAGAGGCAAATAACTACTTTAATCATTCATTACTAATTACATCAGAAGTGAATCAACGAAGTGAAATACAACTCAATAAAAGATGCATTGTCCAAATAGAATGAAATTATATAATGCAGTTCACGTGATCAGATTTAGGAATCACACAAATGCAAGGAAAGGTATAATTATTTCTTCAAAATACCAACCAAGAAAAAGAAAAAAAACAAAATTGCAGCCCCCTGTATGCAGAATGTCTGTAAATAATGCAATCCAGGATCAGAATCATCAGAATCCCAAAACACTCACTTTTTGCAATTGAAAGCAAGAGAAGCCTTCGCAAGCTTCTGTTTCTACCGTGAGAGTAAGCGGTAAGCCACTCACTCAATCCTCATCAACTCATCCTTCAAAAAGCCTCTACTATTCCATTTGTTATTATTATTATTTAATTAATTTCACAAATATTAGGGGAGCAAATGCGATTCATAAGTAGCAGCAGTAAATTTATTTTTTCTTTAAATAAAAAAACAAATATCGATCATAATCCAAATCCCACAACACAATTCAAATCGTCGGATGTCCAGAACCATCAAGTTACAGAAAACTTCATTTGACGAATATAATGCAGGAAGAACGTTGAATGTAAAGGAAAATGCGCTTACCGTTGAGTTGAGCAGTAAAAGATATTTGAGAATCCTCCCCTAGACGGCTTCAATATATACAAAATATTTGAGAATCCTGCACTTTGTTCGCGATTGCTGAGGTGATGGGTAGATGCGTGGCAGAGCGATGCCGGAGACGGTGGTGGAAGAGGGAAAATGTTAGGGTGGAGGTGAAGGGGATGACGCAGAGCAATTAGATTAGAGGTACTTGCGGTTGAGGAAAAGTGTCTAATTAGATAGCGAGAGAGGGCCGCTTACCTAGTTGACCCGGTTTTAATTTTTTACCCGCTAGGATCCGCGTACTAACCCGAATAGGAGGTGAAATTATGGAATTAGAATTGTAATTCTTAGGTCTTACCAAAGAATTGAATTTGTGGAATTGATGGCTCATAGAATTCAAATTGAATTCTAATTCTCTCACATAGATAGCGTCCAAACCGAAGATTTGGAATTGATGCTCCAATTCTAATTCTAAGCCTCCAATTCTATGGGAACCAAACACACCCTTAAAGTCAAAATTTAGAAGATTTGTCGCTGTGGGGTTCGATTGAGAAGCTGAAGAAACTTAATTGTAATAGATATTACTTTATTCTATTTAGAGGGAGTCGGGGGCTAATTTTGGAAAAACAATAACAATTGCCAGAGGAGGACGGAATCTTATCGGCTAGCTTAGGTTTTCTTTTCGGGTTGTTCTTTAAAAAGGGATTGGCCGCAGCATCAGAGGGGGGAAGCCATTATTGTTGACTTGTGAGAAACCAACTCTTCATGTTTGAATTGACAAATTGAGAAATCAAGCAATTGAGGAACCTTTTCTCTCGTATATCTTGCTTAGCAATTAGGAGAAGAAAATAAGGGCCGCAATTGTTGACTATTAGCTTTGCTTTCCAATTGGCTTTGACCGACATTGAAATAGGGCATCAGACCCTCTTTTGCGTTGTTCTTTTTGGAGACAATTGGAGGCGATAAAATCTTGTGCTTCTTCCTCCTGGGGTTGACCGGAGTGGGAGAACCGACTTGCGAACCTTTCCCACTTCCACACGCGCGGCTTGTCCTTCATTAATGGCGGGCTAATTCGCTAATTCTAGTCAAGGGAGCAACTGACGAATTGGTTTAGCAGTTACTGTGAGATCTAAATTATTCTTAATTATTTTCTTCATTTATTGATATTTATATGTTCCCCGCTTTTAATTGTTATAGCTCTTATGTATGATTGATTAGTGCGCAATAATTAATTGTTCATATAGGTTATTTTGCTAAATAGGGATAACTGAATCCGTAATTGTTCATTATCTCTATCTCAGTAGCAACTGGCGTAATTTGGGTTTACGTCAGGGGAACATAAAATCTAACTTAAACAAACCCTCGTAGCGTGTTTGTTAGTTAGGATTGGGCCTTTCTATTTATTAATGCAATCTAGAAATTGAATCCTACGGTCGTACTTGGGGTTGTTTTTGGGTTAGAGAAATAGCTAACGGTCGTACCTTAGCTATCGATAAATTAAGGAAGGGTTGGTTGTTTATCGCGTGCATGACAACTATAACCAATCTATTAATTAATGTTGGAATTACCTTTGAATCGATGATCAGTTGCATGAACTATTTCTGAAGTATACCCTTGGCTAGAGTTTCTCTTAGTTATTTCTTTTAATTAATTATTTTCTGCATTTAATTTGTTTAGTTGGCATTTGATACCAAAACCCCCCATTAATCTTGATTTGAAAAAAAAACAAAATATCTTACTAGTCCCTGAGGAGACGACCCTACTTACCACTGTCTACTAGTTAGGGAATTTAGTTAAATAATTTATTCAGGTATATCGGATTAAGCAAACTCTTCGGGAACAAGGTAAATCAAGTAACCCATTGCACACCTAGAGTCCCTGCTCCAGTACTCGAATTGATTATTGACTGTTTTAAGTGGTAGTTAGGTTTTATTAATTATTATTGTACAGGTTCGGCACCCGTCAACAGTGAACTTGCTTTGGCAGATTTGGAAGTCTAGAAATAGAGTTCAGTTTGAGGGAATGGTAGGGTGTCCAGGAATAGCAGGAATGAACGCAGTGCAGCAATGGAATGAATATGAGGCAGCCCAGCATAAAGATGAGAGGGAGGTGTGGGAGGGAAAGATTAAACAGGAAACTCCAACAAAGTGGTTGCCTCCAGCAGAAGGTTTTGTTAAGGTGAACGTGGATGCAGCGCTGAGCAAAGTAAAGGGGGTAGTAGGGTGGGGGGTGGTTGCAAGGCAAGAGAATGGAGGAATGCTGAAAGCTTGGGCTGGGAGGGGCGATAGGCAGACTGAAGCCGGGGTGGAGGAAGCTAATGCCATTCGAATAGCACTTGTCAAAGCTGGAAGGATGGGATGGAGGAAGATTGAGGTCCAATCTGATTGCAAAGGAGTGGTGGAGAGCATCAGAGCAGGCTGCAGAAAGGATCCGAAGGTGGGAGCAATTGTAGGTGATATCCTTAGATTGAAGGACCAGTTTGAGAACTGTTACTTTTCCTTTGTCAAAAGGGAAGGAAACTGTGTGTCATTATTTGGCAAAATTTGCCATGCATGTGACAAATGATATTGAGTGGGAAGAGTCTTTCCCAATTTGGCTAGTAAACCTCGCCAAGGAAGATGTACGAGCCGTTGCTCACCCTATGTAGTTTGAGTTTTAATGAAAGCTGTTACCGGTTTGGAAAAAAAAAAAAAAAAAAAACTCCACAATTTAAAACCATCATGAACATTAACACAGACATCGCGCAATCTCAAATTGTATTTATACCCACAATTGTAAAGCAAAATGATCCAACCTTTTGGGTGAAAAAGACCCCCTCAATCAGAATACAATTTTTTTGCACAATTTCAGTTACTACACTATTCAACAATATTA